CCGTCCCCCCCCCCCCCAAAAAAAAAAATATTTCCCCTCTCTCGTCTTTTCTTTTCTTTTTCTTTTTTTTTTTTTTAAATTGTCAGATGATTTGTCTGGTTACCAGAGAGGGAAAGCACCCCCTGAATGGGGTGGGCTCAGGCTATATTCCTTCTTTCCTCCATTTCTCTCCGTTCAGGATTTGTGGCATGCAAATATGTGTGACTGTTGTATTTGTCAAACCCCCCCAGCCAGGACATCAACCCTGGTCATGTGAGATCTGGCTCCCTATACACAGCACTTAAATGCTGCACTATTGTATCATCCCAGTATAGATTTCTTAATTTTGTTTTTATTGATGTTTACCTTACTTCCTTTATGCCTGTTGCCCCTAAGGTTTTCTTCATGTACAGATTTGTCTAGGTTTTAAACAATACACAGATGGATTGTTGGGGAATAAAAGTGTTTTTCATAAGATTTCTGTCTTAATCCCAAGTGATCGCTAAGGAATCTCTAGTTTTCTTAAATAGCATATTATAGCAAAAGTTAAATTACTATATGGTTTAAGGTTTGTTTTTCCCATCTTCCCTCTTTGTATTTCCCTCATTTCAAACCAACATTTGTAAATATTTGTTTTTCTCAGCCTGCTGCCTGTAGAGCCTTAATAGACAAACTCAAAGTTTGTAATGATGAGCAACTCCTCTTGGAATTGCAGCAGATCAAAACATGGAACATTGGAAAGGTATGTGAATTCATGCTCCCAAAAGACAGGACTCAATGTACTGGTACATCATTTAGTGTCTTCCGATGCAGACAGAGAAATCAAAATGGAGTGGGTAGCCTCATTCAGTAATTACTTAATAAGCAACTAGCATATGCCTAGCATAGGTCTAGACCAGTTGCTTCTAGCCTTAATGGTAGCCAAGGAAGTTTTGAAAGAGAGAATAGAAAGGAAAATTTTTACTATCTGGGGATAAGGAATGTTTACACAGGTAATGGTAAATAATCTCAACTATAGAATTCCTTTAGTTTGACAGAATGAATTCAAGATGATCTTTAGGTTTTTACTTTCAGTTTAAAAGAATTTTCTGTATAACTTTAAAAATGAACTATTCTCATAAAATGGATTCTGGCAAGGATAGTTCTTACCTTTATAGATCTCAGAATGTATCCCGAATTTGGGGTTTTATGGTATCTGCTAGTGTTAGCACATAAACCTTGATGATGGGTATAACAATGAACTCTCAAAGTATGAGATATTTTCATGTGAGCAAAGTGGGAAGAGAACTTGTCTAGGTGTTAGGCTCAGCAGTCTCTTACAGTAAAGCTTAGCTACAAGCCTCATATACAGTACTTTCTAAAAATGAATTTGTTTATTTTTAGGTTTTAGTTTTGCCCTAGGGTGCTTATGCTCACCAAACAGAGGCAGAGAGAGAAAGTGAAAAATGGCCCCTCCACAGGGAATGGCTACACCACAATCCCTTCTCCATTCTCTTCTCAGGATTTTGGGCACACATGCATACACGTCCCATGTGTTCTTCAAGCCAGTGGGTCTGGGACTTAAACCATGCTGTCATCCATGTGGGATCCAGCTGCCTTAGCCTCCATGCCATCTGCTGGCCTTGCTTTTTATTTTTAATTGCTAGAGGTTATGATCACTCCCAGAGAGTTAGAGAGAAAGTTAACACCAGTAAGGTATAGTTATGCCACAGTCCTTTTTCCTCCATTTCTCCTTCCCATCCCATTTTGGGCATGCACACACAAGCACTCAGAGTGTTTTTCAAGCAACCAGAGTTGAAATTTAGCTTCGGTCAGCCACGTGGTATCTGGCTCTCTTAACTACTCCACTACAGGGCTGGCCTGCTTTTAATTCTTAAATCCTCTTTCTCTTCCCCTTTTCAGTGCGAGTTATATCACTGGGTGGACCTCCTGGATCGCTTCGATGGAATTCTGGCAGATGCTGGACAAACAGTGGAGAATATGTCGTGGATGCTTGTATGTGATAGGCCGGAAAGAGAGCAACTGAAAATGCTTCTTTTGGCTGTGTTGAATTTCACAGCATTGCTCATTGAGTACAGTTTTTCCCGACATCTGTACAGTTCTATAGAGGTAGGGGAAGTTCATGCCTATCTGGTCTATAATACATGTATTAAAATAGTGAAATTTATAGGAATTGTTCTTTGTACTAGGTTTAGAGAAGCCCCAAATGACATGAAACTATTAAAAATTATTTGATTTCCTTAATGCATTAACACATTTTCTTGTCTTCTGGGTTTTATTTTGCTGGTTTTTATCTCTCCTTCACTTTTTCAAAAATACATAATTATACAGTAGCATCCTTTGTATCCTTGAAGAATAAGGTAGACATAGTGATCAGTGAACTTTTGAATTGGTCAGAAGTAACTAAAGGAAGAAATCTTTTCCTTTAAGTCAGCTTTTGACTTTTTTCATTATTAGTTAGGCACCCTGTTAATTTAAGGTTAATTTTTCTGTTATCAGTAAAGAATAAGAATTGAAATAATAACTGCAGATGCCTTTGTCCAGCTAAATTAAATACTGATTTTGATACTGACCAAGTGGTTCAGTATAGGGCAAATTTCAATTGTATTTAAAAACAAAATAGCCACTCTCAAGTTGCTTATGAGTATGTATTAATACTTTAACAGTCATATTTTACATAACTGCCTCTAGCTATTGTCAGTATTTTTAACTTCTATATGAAGGACCCATGTTAAAATTAATTTGTTTTATTTGTCATAAAGGATACAGAAGGAGCATAAAATTATCTTCCTTTCACAATACTTTTAGTTGAGTTAGAGACTTAATGTTCTTTTTGTTTTGTTTTAAGAGATTTTTTTTTTGCTATAAGGCACGTGGGCTTGCCGGAAAGACAGAGAGAGAGCAAAAAATCACCCTTGGCGGTGGGGTGGGAGATGGCCACTCCATATTTACTTCTCCTCCATTCTCTTGGGATTTGAGGCATGAATTCACACATACCCGCACAAATTTTAAGCATCTAGGTCTGGGACTTGAACCACAGTCGACTACATAGAAGTTCAGTTACATTACCATTATGGCATCTGCTGGTCCTGAGACTTAATGTTCTTATGTTCCATTCTGTATTATACCACATTCCCCTCTTGTACTCTTTTCTTTCCTGTGAGGACTCCTGTACAGTTTCAAACTGCTGTTCACAGTTTTTACATTTATTGTACTTTCTGGCTAGCTGCCAGACTGTAAACTTCATGGGGACAAGATTATATGTTTTCAGTTTTCAGATATTCGTAATTTTCCATATTATTTTGACCAAACTTTTGATAGTTTTGTAAATATTGAGAAATATGAGGGGAGGTGGTCTTAAAGTTCATGAAAAATGCGTACTATGAAAAAACTAGGCATGGGTTTTAAAATATTTCGTACCAAAATAAACTTGTACTTAATTTCATTTTCCCACAGACTTTTCGAAGTATCCTTATACATACATACTTGCATTGACATTTATGTTTTTAAGACTGAGTGTGCCTGACACCTTGAACTTTGTTTTTGTCCCTATAGCATTTGACGACTTTATTGGCTTCCTCTGATATGCAAGTGGTGCTGTCAGTTCTTAACCTTCTATATGTATTTAGCAAAAGATCAAACTTAATCACACGTCTTGGATCTGATAAGAGGACCCCACTGCTAACCCGACTGCAACATTTGGCAGAGGTGAGTCTTGGGGGAGGAGTGAAAGAACACAAAAATTAGAGCAAATGGTCTCTTTTGACAGGTATTTCTTATAGTGTCAAGATGGATTAGATCTCTGAGTTAACAGAATAATTGAGTGGAAATAGTTGGTCCCTACTTAGCTAAGCTCCAAAAAAAGTAAGTATTCTCAGTTATTAAGTAATTTTGAAGAATTATATGAGTCTCTACTCAAAGGCAGAATCTCTCTTTGTGGAAAAATGGTAATGGGCCAACAGGTAATGTGGAGGTTAAAGTGCTTATCATCTCACATGGCTGACTCCTTAGTTTAAGTCCCGGACCCAACAGCTTGAAAATCACACTGGGCACATGGGTGTACGTGCCCAAAATCCCAAGAGAATACTAAAAGAGAAGGGATTGCAGTGTGGCTGCTGCCCCCCGCCCTGGGGTGGGCGTCCACACCCCACGCCCCCATCATCTCTTTCTAATAAGCACACACACCTTTTAAAAACAAAACAAAATGGCAACTTCTCTTCTGGAAGGAAGGAAAGTTCAGAATAAGATTTGGGGTGAGAGGGCAATAGTGCAGTAAAAAGACTGGGCTCCTGGATTTGAGTCCTGGACTTCCATAATAGCTCAAATACCAGTTTTCTCATATGGGAATATAGTATGTACCTCAAGGTAGTTTTAGAATAAAATATAGAACTTCATGCTGTGATCATTAATTAGTTTGTGATGGTAGTGATTGTAATTTAAAGCAAAAACTCATATGAAAGTTCATTTCTACCAAAATACAGTCCTGTGTTCCTAGAGACAAACTGGTATATATGCTTATGTTAGATAAATATCCATTGCTGGAAAGCTTTCTTGGAAAAAAAGTATTAAGACTGATTTGTAAAAGTTAATTTAATGGCTACCTCACAAATAACAACTTATGATTCTAGGCAGTTTTTAGGTGCCATGGTTACTTAACAATCACTTTTGGGCAGTTACCAGTGTAACATGTATTGTGAAAATTCTAGGACATAGAGTAGTACTCCCTGAGCCACAAAGGGATATGTTTCAAGACCCCTAATGGAAGCCTGAAACTACAGATAGTACCAAATCCTATGTATACTATGGTTTTTTTTATATAGTACATACCTATGATAAAGTTTAATTTATAAATTAGGCACAGATATTAGTAATAATAGCTAATAAAATAGAACATTTATAACAATGTACTGTAGTAACAGGTGACTGTGGTCCCTTTCTCTCACTGAATATTTTACTGTACTGTATAGTACTCATTTTCAGACCGTGGCTGGCTAGACTACAGACAGTGAAGTTATGCATAAGGGCAGGAAGAGGTGATGGAGCCATTATATAGAAAAGTAGAAAAATATCATTCACCTACAATTCATCCTGATGTGGCTCCCTTTAAAATCTGGGCATAATTTTTGTCTTGAGATTGCAAATATGTATATGCAAGTATGCAACCGTTTTTTCAACTGTAAATAAACATTCCTGTTACTAAAAATGCAAGCCTGCTCAACAGTGGATCCCTAAATAACAGTTAAAAGGGAAAAGTTGTATCTCAAAGCGTTTGATAAAAACAGTACATTAATAAAATTATACAAATTCCAAGGTAGCTAGGAACAGAAACTTGAGATGTACACATTGTTAACTACCAAAAGACATATAATAAGGAAGCTAAAGCATTTTCATTGAATTGAAAAGTGACAAGAAATACCAAATATTTTTGTCATTTAAATTGATTGTTGAGGTCCTAACCAGTACAGCAAGAGAAATGAAATTAAGAATACACATTTAAAGAGAAAAATGTATTATTACTACTTGTGAATTGAGTCTCTTGTTTTCCTGGGGAGATAATAAGTCTCCAAGGAGACATACGAACAGCCAAAAAGCATATGTAAAATATGCTCAGCAACCCTTATCATAAGGGAGATAGATACAAATCAGAACAACAATGAGATAACCACCTAATCTCAGTCAGAATGACTAAGATTAAAACAATTAAGAATGAGAAGCATTGGCGAGGCTGTGGTGAAAAGTGAACTCTCCTGCATTGTTGATGGGAATGTAAATTAGTACAGCCACTGTGGAAAACAATATGGAGGTTCCTTAAAGACCTTAAAGTAGAATTATCATATGATCCAGCAATTCCTTTCCTGGGCATCTACCCAAAGCATGGGAACACACTCAAGTCAGAAAAACATGCACATCCATGATAATTGCAGCATTATTCACAATTGCTAAGACGTGGAATTAACCCAGATGTCTAAGAACAGATGAATGCATTGAAAAAGTATGACACATAGGGGCCAGCAGATGGCTTACTGGTTGTGTCACTGAACTTGGCCAAACACAGTTCATGTCATGGACCTAGTAATTTGAAAATCATGTGCATGCCTAAGATCCCAGGAGGAGAATGGAGAAGAGATTGCAGTGCCCCCCCCTTCCCCCCGCATCCCCAGGTGGGGCTGATTTCTCATTTTTCCTCTATCTCTTATCTCCAGTGAGTGCATGCGCCCTAAGGTAAAAACATCTAAGGGGAAAAAAGTGTGACACATCTACACTGTGGAATAGTATTAAACTATTCAAAAAACAATGAGACCCTGGCATTTGATAGGAAGTGGACAAATATAGAAGATTTAATGATACGTGAAGGAAGCCAGACTATGAAAGCGAGACATTGTATGTCCCCACTAATATATACTGAATGTCTGTGCTCTAGGGCCAAAACTGGAAGATTAGATGGTGTAAAAGCATGGATAGAAACTGAATACTTGTCTCTAGTGGGCAGGGATGGGAATCAAGGGGAAAAAATAAAAACAATATTTAACAGATAGAAAAATGGAAAATTATTTGTTCATGGTAATGTGTATGGGTAACTTCCTTGACTAGACTATTGCAGTATATTCACGCTGGGAAGATTCGTTTTGTATGTTGTGGAGATACACAATTTTTTAATGTAAAAAAGTAAAATAAAAAAATAGTACAATCAGGTAGCCAAGTAAAAGATCAATATAAAAAAATAAAAATAAAAGATCAATATATAGAAACAAATAGCTCCTATATGTATTAGTAGTAAACAATTAGGAAATGATTGGTGGGGCCAACAGATGGCATAGCAGTTACGTCACTGGACTCCCACATGACCAACTGCAGTTTGATTCCCAGATCTTGTGGTTTGAAAATCACGCCAGGCATGTGTTCATGCATGCCTAAGACCCCAGAAGGAGAATAGAAAAGAAAGGATTGTGGCATAGTCATTCTCCTCTTGGAGGTTATTTCTCACTTTCCTTTTCACTGTCTCTTTCTCTCTGTATCTCTGGCAGGCACACCTACTCTAAGGCAAAAACCTAACAAAAAAAAAAAAGAAAAGAAAATTATTGCT